GAAATATATTTCCTACATTATATTATTAATTGGAGTAAAATTAGGTTTCCTAAATTTGGATTTAATTCTATTCCATGATTACTAATTTAATTAGGAAAGGAAATTCCTACAAGGATCTTCTCTAGTGTTAGGAGACTTAGGAGTCTTCTAGAAGAGATGGATTAGTAGGAGATCTCCTTCCTAGATTGAGTTAGTATTGGATTAGAATTAGAAGTCCTAGGCCTAATGGAATAAGCTCATATTTAGCACCTCCTTAAGGTCCCTAATGGAGCCTATAAATACACCATGTCCAAACCTCTCCTACAATGTTGTCTTGGCCGAATTTCTCATCTACATACACGTGAGAATTGCTTTGTTCGAGAGTTAGGGAGATCCGAGTAAACGCTCCACCAAGTTTAATCGGAATAGGTGTTTAGGTAATCCGTTAGAAGGCTTTTTGGTACAATTGATCGAGCTTTCTAATATATATATATTCGGTCATCATCTCCTTTGGATCGCCGCCCATCGCCGCCGTGTACCACCGCCGGAGATCGCCAACCGCCGCCGGAAGTCAGCCGAGCTCAGCCCAGCGCAACCGCACGTCACCGTGAACAGTCGCGCATCACCGAGCCCAACGCACGACGTCCAGCGACGCCCAGCGATCACGCCCGTTCGTCCCTGCTGCTCGCTGCCCGCCCGTGCTGCCAGTTGCCGATCGTGTCGTCCCCAGCGCGCAAGAAGTACGCGCATCATCCCGCGCGTGCCCAGGTGTCTTGCCCAGCACGTACGCGTCCGCCCACTCGCCAGGCCCAGTCCGCAGCGGCCTAGGAGTCCCGCATCAGCATGCGCGACACGCCCCAGCGCCCGACGCGCACACACGCTCGCTGCCCAGCATCCGTCCGCGTAGCCCAGTTGTTTGTTATGTTTTTGTGCTTTTTTATGTGTTCATTAGTGTGTTCGAGTCGATTTTATGTTCGTTTTAGTGTCGGCCGGTCCATTTTATCGCATTTTGTGTGATTTTGTATTTTCTCTTTTATTTTGTATCTTGGCGTACTTGNNNNCTCCCTATCAATACTCCATCATTCAATATTCAAGAAAAACAATAATAACAATATTCAGTTTTCAAAAGCGGAAGCAATATCAATAATAAGATCACCACTCGCATCCCTCCGACGTGCCCACAGTACTAACCTGCATCCATGAAGAGCAGCAGGTGGGGATGAGCACAAGAGGAACAGTAGTGCTCACCACTATGCAATAAATGTTAACCTCGATAATAAACAATAACTGTAATCAAAGGTATGGTCTCAGCATGTATACGAAGCATTAATCTATCCCAATCTCCCATCAATAATCAATAATCAATAATCATGTGCACACCTATATCAATAGACTACTGCTGACTATATATCGAATTCCCCCTGGACTTACATCGAGTGCCAGCCAGTAGGAGTTACCCCTGTCGGCCGAGCAC